AGACCTTTGCACCAGGCCGGTGCTGCCACCGCGACTCCTCAATCGTTTATTCGTAATAACGAAAGATAAAAGACACAGTGTTCAATAAATAGCAATGCGCATCAGAATAGTCGGTACGATCACGCGTTTTGTGCGAGCGATTGCCTGTTAATGATTTTCACTACTTTGTACTTTAGTCTGTGCAAAAATAGTTAAAACGCTGAAAAATAATTCAAAATTTTACGGGCTGGCACGTGAAAGCTGAATTTAAAACCTCGAAAGATGAATGTCCTTCCAAAATTTCAATCTGATTTCGCTGTTTTCGGATGATCTTTGAGACAAAACTTTCACTTGATCGTACGTGAGGCCTCGGCATATTTAGGAACTAAAATTCGAGTTTGTGAAGCCCCTGCTTGGACAGAAAACATTCTCCTGAGACTTCCGCCTCCTAGCACTTTTAGCTTCCGAGATAATGATTTCTCTCGCCAAATCTTCCACGGGGACGCAGAAAAATTGTGGAGTTACACGTGGACAGGGGATCCCACGCTAAAACTTGGATTCCGTGGTCCCCGAGATGATAATTTACCCGCAAAAATTTCCACGGGCCGTAAGTGGTACGCGAAAGCGCGGGAATGCTGAATTTGAATTTGTAAAGCCATGTGTGGGCAGGGGTTTTTACCTTAAAATTTCCGATCCGTAGATTCCGTGGTTTCCGAGATAATAATTTGCCCGCAAAAATTTCCACGGGACCGTTCTTGTTACCCGCGGGCACGAGAAAGCTGAATTTAAATTTTCTGGGTCGCATGTGGGCAAGAGACATGCCCACAAAATTTCAGCCTTCTAGATTCCGTGATTCCCTTGATAATAATTTTACCTGCTTAAACTTTTACGGAGCTGTACGTGTTACCTGCGGATACGGGGAGGCTGAATTTAAATTTGCGGGGTCACACGTGCGTGGGGAAATTTCCTTAAATTTTCAGCTCTCCAGCTTTTGTGATTCCCGAGTTGAAAGCTGCGGACAAGTTGCTGCTGACACATACACACATACATATACACAAATACACACTCACATACGCACAGACAACCCCGTGACAATACGCGTTTTGTACTGCTGTTACACAGCACAAAACGCATAAAAAAAGGGCCAACCAAACAACGCTTCGAACAATGTGTTTCAGAAAATAAAACTACAAATCATGTAATCGACTGCACTGTTATTCTCTTTTCAGCAGCAGGGGTTGTCCAGAGCTTCACAAAAAAAAAAATATCCAGAATAAATAGCAACGCGCACAAGAGTGGCCGGTGTGATCATGCGTTTTGCGCAGTTCCGTCCGGCGGATGCTTGCTTAAAATATAATTGTTTTAGACTTTCGTATATGAAGAAATAGTAAATATGCTGTCCTAAGGTGAGGAATTTCCCACTGAAAATTTCACGCACCGGTATGTGAAAGCTGAATTTGAAAACATGGATGAGGAACATCCTTCCAAATCTCAATCTTTTAGTTTTCCGACTTCCGAGCTAGTGACTTTCACATCAAAATTCTCACACGGTCTTAAGTAAGACCTCTGCATAACTGGGAGGTAATTTTGAGTTTATTAGATACAAGCAGCGGCAGAAAATAACGTCCCGGAATTTCAGCTTCTTAGCTTTCATGGTCCCTGAGATAATTTTCCGCTAAAACTTTTACGGGCCGTACGCGATACCCAAGCGCACGGGAAAATTGAATTTAAATTTTCTGGGTTGCACGCCGTCAAGGGGCATACCCATAAAATTTCAGCTCCCTGGCCTCTGCGGTTCCTGAGATAATGATTTTATCCGCCAGAACTTTTACGGGGCCATACGTGTTACCTGCGAGTACAGGACGATTGAATTTGAGTTTTCTGGGTCGCATATGATCAGGGGATAAACCCATAAAATTTCAGCTTTCTAGCTTCCGTAATTCCCGAGATAATGATTTTACTCGCCAATACTTTTACGGGGCCGGACGTGTAAAACCCACAGGTACAGTAAGGTTGAATTTAAATTTGCCGCGTCACACGTTGATGGGGAACACTGTTCTAAAATTTCAGTCTCCTAGCTTTTGTGGCTCCCGAGTTGAAAGTGCGGGACAAAATATGGGATATACAAACAAATACATACACACACACAAACATACACAGACAATCCCGTGACAACATGCGTTTTGTACTGCTGTTACAAAACATAAAACGCATAATAAGCTTTCGTGTGGGGATGGCTGAACTGGCAGTTCTCCCA